ATGTGATTGCAGGGATGCGATGCATTAAACAATACCCAGTGGATACGACCCTCTTCCATACAGCAAGTTGCCAAGCCCACAGGTTTCTGCTGCCCGGGATCAAAGAACCTGTTGAGGTTTGGTATGATCCCTCTTGCGACAAGATTGTCTCGAAGTGTGCAGCAGTCGAAAACTAAACACCTGGTGGCCTGTTCTGTTGGACACAGGGTGACGCAAAACTTTGTAAGCCAAGCGCTCGTGAACGTGTTAGGGCTCTTTGTACGGCCTGCCGCATTTCTTCGAGTATTGTTGACAGATGGCGGAAGTGCACCCATCCTAGGACAAGCCGTGCTTCGGTTGAAGCTAGGTCCGATCCGGATAAATCTTCCAGCGATAGTGCTGTCAGCACTAGCATCGGCAGCTGATGTGATTGTGGGCATCGATTCCCTCGAACGGTATGGTGCTGACATGAACCTAGGAAAGAATACCTTGACCATCTAGAAGGGAGGGTTCTGGTATATGATGAGGTTCATCCTGAAAAACCTCCACCATTTTGCGGGCTGAGTAGCCTGAGCGACTGAAACATTACATGATGGCCAAGGCTGATTGCCTGCCATCAATCATAAGGGTGCAAAACGGGTGGTATGGAAGGTGCGCATCCATTGATGATATGTCCATGCCGCACAGCTGAAGCAGGGGTCCGCACAGCAGCTGAGCGAATGGAGCATGTATATGCTTGCGGTTGGCTTTTAACCAACCTATCCCAGCCAAAGCAGGGAGCCGTGCGTTCGAAATAACCAAACGACCACAAATTCCCAGGCCTTCAATAAAGGGGCGGCATAGCATACACCCTGTGGGAGCCGGGCAGGCATAAGTACCCAAGGCCGCCTATTCCAAGTCAACAGCAAGATTGGAGCCAGCGACTGAAAGCAGGGGGCGCATCCAGGGAACCACTGGTCTTGGCCGTGCACAACCTCGTTTCTGAGCGTTGTTTTCTCTTTCGTGGACTCAGCTGAGAGTGTGATTGAAGCCTGCACTGTGGGCCCATTCCTGGAAGATCACCAATTTACGATACAGGTTTGTAAGTTTTCTCAGGGCCAATCACCGATTGCTGTAATGCACGGCAATGTTTAAGCAGCCCCTTCGCACAATTGTGTCCGGTCGTAGCAGCTGTGTCCACAACCGAAAGCTGTCAGCCAGGGTCCCATCCCCATCCCTTGCCAGCTACAAACCTACTCCTTACGTTTACACAGGTGCTGTAATATCGGCTTTCTCTTTAGGCGTAAATCAGGGGCATTGACCAGGGTTATTTTCTATTTCCGCGAGGTATTTTCTCTAGCTCTATGGCTTATTTCCTCTAGCGTCAAATTCCGCCCGGCTGTGTTCGTTCCGAAGCAGACTGAAGCGACAAACGCTCGTTGAAGCGGATCTCGACTGAGGAGGAACTCGCATCACAGAGATCTACGTATCTAATTGCACACTGGCTGCTAGTGCAAATAGCGCGTCCTAAGGGGGAAGGATTGTTATGTTCGATAGACGGCCACAACAACAAATTATAATGCTGTGCTTAGAATGGCAGAACATACAAGGGTGTTCTGTCAAAAAGTCCATGGCTGGGAACGTGCTGATGATGGCGAAGGAACGGGTGCACCATTGGTTCACCCATAGCATAGGTCTTCAGCTGCACAGTCCGGCGCCAACATTCCACGTTGGGTGCGCCAAAGCGCTACGACAAACAACCTGATAACATTACATTAAGCCAGACAGTCCAATTGGAATGCTTTTGAGTCGACTTGGACATCTGCGCAAGAATTGCTCCTATGCACTAATGTGCAGAGATACGTGGAGTTGTGCCACAACAAAACAATGAAGACTGCAAATTTTCTCAGAGTTGTGCATACTGGCTTGGGAATGCGGTGCGGCATAATGCGGCCAGCATCTTCGCGCCTTGCAACTTCAGCTCAGTTTGCATGAATATAACCAATAAAACATCACAGTACTAGAGAAGCAGTTTGTTTGAGGAAGTACATGAAAGCTGAACAACTAACTCCAGAGTGGGCCTCACTTTGAGCCAGGACCCCCAAAGTGGCTTGCTGTTGATAACGGCTTGTTGGCTTAGATGCGACGGAGCGAAGCGACCGGAGCTTCTAAGGCTGGTTCTGTGGTGCTGTCGTACAACTGGGTCGCAGTGGCGACTTCATTCTTGCTGCTCTCCTGGTGAAGTCATTCTGCCTTCACGCAGAAGAGCATACAGCCTTGTCCAACTAGTCAGCGTGACAGGCTGTACTTGGACCCCCAAACCGGCTTGCTGTTGATAACGTCTTGCATGTTGATACGCCTCCTGTGGACTTGTCCCCCAGTAGGGTCTGCAGATTGCATACAGTTTCGTTCGGTCTA